TTATAGCAACTACTAATGTTTTTTTTTTTTTAACAAAAAATACATCACGTTTCAAACAAGAAAAACAATTTAGAAGAAAAAAATATGTTTAAACAGTTGAAAATAAAGTATTGCATCAATATTTTTTTTTAAATACATACTTGAAAGTAAACATGATTGTCTAAAATTGTATTGATTTTTTTTTTTGATGAAACAATCTTTGTTAAAATACGTATCAGTAGTAAATAATTAATTTCTAGAAAAAATAGATGTGAATAGACTAAAAAGAAAAAAAACAATTTATTTGTAAGTATTTAAAAATTCGTTAATTAATCATGTCCAAGTCTGACCACACATCATTATATATAATGCATTAAAGCGTGGAGTAGGGTTTATTAAGCGTCGTATTGATAAAAAAAAAAAACCATACACACGAGCTATTTCTTTTTTCAAAATTACTGCTACTAAAAATTGTAAAAATTATGAATCATTCAAGTAAAAGCTTTTTACACTACACATTAAAAAGATTAAAACACCGAGTAAATGGGAAAATTTTTATCATTAGAAACTTCAAATTGTATCAGTATGTGTGCATAACACTCGTTTTTATACACACACGATTATCTTGCTTGATATTCAAAATATACTTTATATTTTTGTACGACGACGTTTGCCTATTAAAAAAAAACAACGTTTTAAAGCATCAGTTAAACGCATGCATGCACGTGTCGAAACACACACCTGTCCCGTATACACATATAAATAGTCAAGTACATGGTGACGCAACGCTCGAAGATGCTTCCTAAAAACTTGTACGACTGATGTATACCTACGTGACGTAATTTCGATATTTTTTTTTTTCTTCCACCGCAAAATTTGCATGAAATTTTCTACATCGACGAAATCTTATTAAAATATTATACACACGCAAACGTGTTCTCGAGAAAGAAAAAGCGCTCCCGTGTGAGACGTCTTCACGTGAGTCACATTTGCCGGGCTCGTGACTCTCTTCTTCTTCGCACACCACATATGCCTATTATGTTACCGCGCGAATTTATCTGCCTCTCCTTCCGTGAAGAGCAGAAAAGGCGAGACGCTTTCAGGTGTGTGCTCTATCGATTTTTCTCCGGTGCATATTACACGTTGCACGCGTCTCTCGTCGTTTTTTTTCCCCTTCGTAAAAACTGAATGCAGTCTTTGCTTGCGCGAAACCAATGTATTTTACACGGACTGATTGCCGGTGATTGCTTCACCGATTGATTTTTTTTTTTTTTTTTTTGTTAATGATGATTGTCATGTTGAAATTAATATAATGGTGGTGTCACCTTTAGATTGAGTCACAAGAGTATAATATGCATAATAAGCATCCGAACTAAAAATGAATTTTCATATTATTGAAGAGATTAGTTTTTAATCACCACGTGCTGGTGCACGAAATATTCATGTATCGTTATTTTTTATTTTTTTCCGTTGCATAGGTATCTGCATATATTTATACATACGTATAATGTACTTTGTCATCATTTTTTTATTGACAAAATGTAGCATATGAGGCAGCATGAGTTTTTAAAAATAGCAGGAAAATCGAGGAATAAAAAGTGTAGGAAGATTGCGGAGAGTTTCAAGGTGCTCGTTGTAGGTACATGTGCTGTTTCGTGCTCGGTTTCGTGCAGCGTGTGCATGCGAATATATTGCGTGCCTTGTGTGTTCTGATTGTTTAGGAGCACGAAATGCAGAATGAGATAGGTTCGACTTTTTTTTATTCTTTTTCATTTTAGTTGATGGTAACGTTGCTTTCCAGATACAATCATTTTAAAGGTTACTTGAAATAATGATTAAAAATAACTTTTATTTTTTCCTAAATGTGTGAATGCACTATTTTTGTGCTAGGTGACATAAAAACTTAAAAGAAATTTTTTTTTTTGGTACTATAATACAATAATAAAAGATATCCATTAAACAGTAGTGCTATATGTTTTTAGAGAATATTATATTAAAGTAATTTTTTTAAAATTTTATTTCAGTTTCATACAAGTAGTTAGTTATTAAAAAAATATTAAGCATTATTGTTTCAAGTACTGCGTTATGAATAGTAATAAATAAAAAATTAATTTTTATAATTTCTGGTCGGTAGTTGAAAAAGAAATTTTTTTTGAATCAAAACTAAAATTTTTGATACACTATAAAAAAATTGCAGAGCATGTAACCTTGGAAATATTATTTCTAAGAAACGAAGCTTGGCGCACGTGATAAGATTTTATCGGTGTTATTTCCTTTTATTCCACTAGCCTACTATCATTCTATTGTTATTGCACTTTACCAGCAAATAGTCTCGTGTCACCGCGTTAATTTTATTGTTAACGATGCAATGTTCGCTTTATACAAAAAATATAATCTTTTTACTCCTGAAAAACAAAAAAATAAAAAAAAAAAAGGAAGGAAAACATAAAAGTATAAATCTTAAAAAAATTTCGCAAGCAAAAATTTCCGAGTGAGAGCAAACGGAAGAAGAAGCGGCGGGAATCTCGGAGAGCCCCTTAATCATCGCCGCTTATCTCTCCTCTCTGAGCTCGCACCTCTCGTGCTTCCTCCTTCCTCGCGTAATATACAACCCGCGTGCAGAGCCGTCGTCGTCGGCGCACGGGACTGACGCTCACTGCTAAAAATATAATATATACGGGCGCCTCTTTTACCAACGCGTGTGTAATATATATCATGTGTCTGATGTGTGCGTTGCACGAATATACACAGGCAGCGATGTAAACACACCTGCACAGGTGCGCACGTGTAAAAGGAATATAGTTGGGATTTTCGGGGTATCAAAAAATAAATTAGAAATTTTTGTTTTTATTTTTAACAATACAATATACAAATTTTTTCTCGAATTTTTTTTTTTCATAAGTGGTTTCTTGGTAAATATAGCTGATGAAACGACGGTTATGAAAAACAATAACTCAGAATGTTTTCAAATGTTTTTCAGTTGTTACTACAGCATGTCTTCATTTTTTTTACATTTTA